ATAATGAAAAAAAGGAGCTGCTGGCATCTGGCTGGGGGCAGGGGATCAACAGGAAACAAAGGGATGACAAAAGACATTCTGTGCACTAGCTCACTCCAGAACTCAGAAGCTTCAGATGAACCAGTGCCAGTTCAGAGCAGAAGCCCAGATTTCCCAGGACTTGTGTTGTGTTCCCCAAGCTCTAGGCTCCTGTGGCTATTACTCAGCTGGATCCAGGCTGTCCCTGCCATGACACAAGTCCCCACCGTTCAGTCACTCAACAGGTTGCTTGTTAGGCAGGATCAGTTATACAGTGCAGGTCAATTGCCACAGGCGCGCTCTCTCTCTCTCTGGAGTATGTTCCTTCGCATACACTCTGGGTTGGTGTCTCAACAGGCATCTATACAAAGTCCTTGGATTGACACAGGACTGCCAGGATAGTTATTGCAATGACTCAGTTGTGAAGGGGTTTGACAAACACATGTGAGAGGCCAACTGGAATCAAGACCCCTTCAACAGGTAAAGCTTTTACCTGCAAAGACAAACAAGGATCAAACTACATGTGTCATCTACAATTAAGCAGCAGGAGGATGTGATGGAGAGGTGCTTGAGTCCACGCACCTTAGCAAATGCACTCTTGATCAGTATCCAGGCCCAAAGGTGGAAAAGAGGGCTGGTGGAGTAACTGCCCAAAAGTAAAAAAATAAAACTAAGTACGTGCTTTTTCTTTTCTCTTTTTTTAAAGTAGCAAATTTTGATTTTTGTAGGGTATGAGCCTAAGGAGTTTCCCCCTCTGCCTCTGCAATAATTCAGCCCAAAAGCCCTTCTTCTTTCCAGTCACAAAGAGCAGCTTTGCACCCCGGCTACACCAAGGAGCACTTCAGAGCAACCTCACACCAAAACGGCTGATTTCTCAGGGATGCTGCAAAGGTATTCAATAAAAAGCTTTTAAATGCATATTTTTAAACTTGCAACAGGAAAGCTTTCCTGTGTCAAGACAGTAATTCTTATAACAGCATTGATCAAAATGTCATTCTTTTATGAGTGTACAATACCTTTTAATGGCATACAACCAGCCATTAGGGTTATACCCCTCCATACAGCAGAGGCATCTTCCTGGAAAAAGGGAGCCCCTGGCCAAGGCACAGGCAAGCCAAGCACAGCCCTTTTTCATCACTGCAGCAGCTCCCCAAATGATCTTCCAGAAGCCACAATATTCAAGGCACACGCATACCAGGGGCTGGCTTTTGCTCCCCATTCTCAGGAACACACCCTGCTCTAAAGTGGCAATGTTTTGGCTCTCACTGGGGGTAGTTCCACTTTCATGCTGCCTCCCTCCCTATCTTTCATCTGACAACCACTACCCCCCTCTACATTTTCTCATCCGATCTGGCAGAGGATGAAATGCCTCCTGTTTTGTTCTAGGCTTTTAGTTTCCAAAGATAGAAACTAAGTGTCTAATGAACTGCTTCTATTCCACAGCTCATTTGAAGCCCTCCAGTGCTCTGGCTCTTCAGAGATTTTTTTTAAGAACGGTATTGGAGATTGCATTTACTCTGCTTGAATGAAGGGTGAGTAGGAACCCTGGACAAGAGCGCACCAGCACTCTAATTCTCTCATCCAGCTAAAAATACCAGCGGGGGAGGGAATGGGCAGTCTCCCCATCTCCAAGACCTTTCACGTATGCTATTTGTAGAATTCAATACAGGCTGATGGCTGTCATGCAGGCACAGAGCAAAACCTTTCAATATTTTTGCACCCCAAGACCAACCACCAAAGCCAACACAAATAATATGCCCTTCATACAAGGCCACCTTATTTTTCAGAAATGGGCTAGTTAGTTTCTAAACTGGTCATTATTTGCCAGGAATATTCCCTATCTGAACAAAAGAAAGCAGAAGGATAAGGTTTCTACTTTACACAGAAAGAGTGATGAAGAGGGTTCGAGGTACATGCAGATGTCAATGGTCACCCAGCCAGAGACTCTAGGATCCCTCACCTTCCAGCACCCTGCTCAGGAGCCACTTGGGAGTCTGGATGCTCAGCGAGATCATAAGAACTCATGAGCACAAACAGTCTACAATGGGAACCAAGCCTTTCCTAAAAACACAGCAACATGAAGTTCCAAAACGTCATATGCAAGGGGGATAAATGGGAGAAACAATGACCATGTCCAAGGAGCATCCTTCTCTTTACAGGCCAGCATAATCACACGGCCAGCACTACAATATTTGCCAGAGATACCCACACTACCCAATTTTCAGCACTAACTACAAATGCATCCAATGCCAGAAGAAGATTGGGCCCACTGCCACATAAATGTCACCTAAATTTTGCTTTGGTCAACAGGGCCACACTGGCATAAACATGACAGAGACATCGACCCTTTCTTGACTCTCCTTTGCTGAGCAAGTCCATAATGGCAGGCAGCTGTTTACAGCTGTATTAGTGGGGTGAAGGCAGCACTTGAGTCAACTCACCATGTGATTATCACTCCTACTAGTGGCAGAGGAAGCACATGAGCCATGCAGAATACAAAAATCCCATATTTGCAGAATGGAGGCCTCACCAGGAGGTGGAATGAGGCTGAGAGCAGAACTGGCTGTCAGTTCCAGGATCTTTTGCTCTTCTTATGTAGTTAATAGTTGTTATTAATACCTATATGTGTTGTCTAAAATGATGATGGAGTATTAACAATCCTATCCTTAGTTGTATTTTTTCTCCATTGTTTATGAAAGTGTTGTAACTTTGCCTATTCTCATTCTTAATAACTCCTAGCAATATTAAAAGCTGCACTCTTTTGAGGCTTGAATTATACTATATTCTACTTCTTAGGTTGTGAATATCACCTTATAAGACTCTGACTAAATGTGCTACAACATTCAGAGAATCCTAAACGTGAAGGTGAATGAATTGTTTAAATTGAAATTTGTTATGTAAAGCTTAATAAAAAACATTTTATTTTTTTTAAAAAAGTGCTACAACATTAACCCAGCTTTTCTTTGCCTCCACTATGTTCTGCTTGGCATCCAGTCTGAAGAAGTGTTCTAGAGACCTGGAAATTTGCACGTTATTTTGTGACATTTTGTAAAATTTTACTTATGGACCAAATATAGCTACCTTTATTATCTCTTTCCATTTCCCACTTTCTACTATATAAAAAAGTGCCAAAAATGGCATCTGGTAATTATGTGTGCCAAGCTAGACAACTCAGAAGGAAGTCTGAGCTCTTGTGGAAAGTTCCAGCTGCCCTGTCAGCACTCAGTGGCAGAACTTCTGAAAGAAGTGGATCAAGGGGACTGGCTATAGGGTTGCTCATGGCTTGGGGAAAATTATTATCAATTATTATTATGCTTGCTGCACACAGATACAATTTGTCAGCCAATGTGCTGCTGTGCACCTCCACCACACAGAGTAGCCTGTCAGAAACAGTCAACAAAGGCAGAAGTACCTGAGCAGAGCTGCATCCATTATCTGGAACAGTCAGTTCTGGACTTTAAAAACAAGTCTCCTTGGACAGCTTGATTCAGTCATCTAGATACAGCCCCTTTACTTTCCAGCATCACAGCTCATAATCGGCATAACAACCCACCTGTGCCCTCAACCCTAACCCTGGGTAAGTTTCCTTAGACCTGATCCCCAGGGACACCTGGTGAGCCTGTAGGCCTCAATTTTCCTCCATGAAATAGAGCAGCTGTGAAAAACATTGCAAGAAAATGCCAGGCCCATGTGGATTTCCCAGTCTGCTTCCACAGGTGCACAACCTCAATCTAATTTTGGATGCAAACAGAAAGAAGATAGCCAAGAGGCTGAGTGGGTTGATCACCCAAGAACTCAATGGTGCCAACATGTCTGGCAGCTGATGGCCCAGATACACCTTGCAAACTTGATAAAGCTGTGGGATAAACAGCAAACAGTTACAACCACTGAAGAAACCAGCCACTAGTTTTGCAGGAATACCAGTCATGGGGGTATGTGTGCAGTGCTGTATTTATGTCTAAGCTAAACAAGCTATAGCTTAGGACCCCTGTCTCTTGGGCCCCCCAAAAAATTTAAAGGGAAAAAACCTGGATGTACATTTCCAAAATATATGATAAAAAAACAAATAAAACCTACATACAGCAACAGTGTTTTGTAGGCTCCTATGACGTAAGAAATGCGCCACGCTTGCTAGCCTGCTCCCTAAAATATCACCGGTTTGCTCATTTCTAACAGCAACAATTTGTTGTTGACAAAGGACAGCTGGACATATAAAGGGCCCCATTACCTTCAGTAGCTTAGGGCCTCATCAAACCTAAATCCCGCCCTGTATGTGTGTGTCGGGCGCCCACTCCCTTTGGGGAGTGGAGGGCGAGCCAGCAGTACCCTGGCAGGAGGGGGCAGGAGGTTGCTCGGGGGAACTCCTCCTAGTACAAAGGGAGACCTAATTAAGGGAAAGAGGGGAGATACCTTGCGAGCGCCTTCCGGATCCTCCTCCAGCTGGATCCCCACGCAGTGCAGGCGCTCTTGGTAGAGGGTGCGGAGCTCTCCAAAGAGACGCTTCAGGGCACGAGAGGCCGGAGGGCGGCCCAGGCATTCTGCTGGGGAGAAAGGCGGCCATCAGAACCGGGAGACGGGGCGAGCCGAGGGCGGGGGCGCCTCCTCCTCCTCCAGACCCCGCCCTTGTTCCCCGGTGGACACGAGGCGGGGGATGGGAGGGGTCCGCGAGGGATGCCTTTAGGGGAGGGGCTTTCTCTGAGGGGCAAGGGGCGCGTTCCCTGCTACGGCCTCCTCACCGCAGGCCTCTTCCCGCTCCGGTGCCTCCATCTTCATCTCCTGCTTCAAACGGGGCCGCCGCTAGTCCTTCTCCCCGCCCACTAAGCGATGGGCACGCCGCTCGGCCAACGGCGTTGGAGTGCCGGATCTGGGCCCGCCTTCTCCCCCGTCAGAACCCAATCACTGCTGCCTGGGGCGGAGAGCCGCGCAACGGACCTCTCCGAGCTGGAGTCGCTCTACCTTGCTGGCACCTGGAAGGCCGAAAGCGACTTAGGCGATTGGCTTTTGGTTCTCCCTTCGGCCAATAAGGAACGAGGTATTGCAGGCAAGCTCGGCAGACGGGAGAGCGGCCGCCGGTCACCATGGCGACCGCGCGATAGAGGCACTGCGAAGGGGCGACACGCCCCCTTGTCTTATAGGCCAGAATTTCACCGGTGTAGCAACGCGGCCTTCCTCCCCGCCCCAAGCCAAGGGCCAGCCCTGCCCTTTGCGAAGCGCCGGCACCCTCGGGCAGGCGCCCGTGGATGCGGACTCCAGCCCCGCGGGGGGCACACACAGGCACCGGGCCTTTCTGGGGGTCTTCAGCTCCCGCTGCTCGAGCGCCTGCTGGGCTTGTACGGTGAAGCCGCCGCCAGGCGGGCAGGGTGATCCGGCCGCGAATGTTGTGTGGAAGTAGACTGCCATTGGCCATGGAGGCTCCATTGAGATGCCATGCCTAGCAGCGGGGTTGGAACTCCGCCTCCTCTTTTCATGTGGGTGGGTGTCCCGCCCCAATGAGGGCAGCGGGGTGCGGGGGGGGCGCGCTTCCTCATATTCATCCTAAGTCCACCCGCAGTCAAATCACACCCCCCCCCCCCGCAAAAGTAAAGTCCAAATATGAGAGGAGGAGGAAAACTTGGGCCCGCTTTCTTTCTCTACACTGGTGCCTCTTGCTCAGCAGTCTCAGAGTGTCCCCAGAGTGGCCAAGCTGGGAAACCGCAAAGCAGCCGGAGATCTCCTTGGCATGCCCACTGAGCTCCTACCAAGTGCAGTCATGGATGCAAATGCAGAAGGCATTAAAAGAGGGTAAGACTAAGGTGCTACTGGACATATATAATAATAATAATAATAATAATAATAATAATAATAATAATAATAATAATATATATTTCGATTGCATCAGACCAACACAGCTACCTCCCTGAACACTGGAAGAGGATGAGGCTAGCCTCCAAGTTCTTCCTCTACAAATTGAGGCAGTTTGCTTTTCACGGGGATTACCAAGTGATGGAGATAATATTGCATTCAGACCTTGCCCTTCAGAGGCACCACACCTCTGATCCTAGAGGTCCTAGACACAGTCATCATGACTATTAGCCACCAGAGCAATATGACCAGCTGCTACCAACCCCAGCAAGCATGACCAATGAACAGGTATGATGGGATTTGTAGTCTGACAAGTTTAGTCAGCCCTACTGATAGCAGGTTAAATCTCTATAGCTAGCAGGAGAGAGCTGGTTTAGTGCTCTTGGACAATGTAGAGCAGGTGTGGGGGAGAACTCTGGCCCTCCAGATGTTGCTGAATTACAACTCACATCATCCCTAGACACTGGCCATGCTTGCTGGGGCTGAAAGGAATTGTAGTTTAGCAGCATCCAAAGGTTCCCAAAGCCTAGTGTAGAAGCAGGTTGAGCAGCACTGAACCCATTCACTTCAGCTGAAGGAGCAGCACATGCAGGAACTCATTTTGTATGTGCAGCTCTACATCCCACAATAGGCAAACTCTTTACATTACATTTGCTACCCATTGCTTACTGCCATGCTGATAGTCTAGGTCCTGGGCCCTCCTGACAACAGTGCCAAGTCTTCCCTGCCGAGCTGCCTTCTGCTTTCCCTTCCTCACCTTCAGCTGTATTGTGCCACAGAACCTGTGATGCTGTGCTTGGAGGGCACAACAGTTGGCATGTGGCCTGAAAGAACCGGAGTTGTGTATGCTCTTCAATGCAGTGCAACGAGCTCTCCTAGAATCTCACCAAGCCAAGGAAGGCCAAATGCTGTTCAGTGAGGGGGGCTGGGTAGAAATCAAATCCTCTGCACGTGGCTGGTTCAGAGGATGAGAAACAGGAAAGTCTTTTTTCAGAGCAGAAGCTCAGACAGTGACTGACTCTTCTGGAACAGAGGAGAGAGAAAGGACACAAAAGAGACTGAGGGGAAACTTGGACAGCAACTGTTCTCAGTTAATCCAGAGCCCCCCAGTAAATAAAATTGTAGGCAGTTAATAAATTACAGAAATAGGGGAAAGAAGTATTTTAGGAGACAGTTTAGTTCATCTGGAGGGTACCTGGCGAGCTCCTATTGTATGTTGGGGCGGAGGGAGGGAGGAAAGAGGGCTCTAAATTACCTTTCAGCTCTTTTAAATTATTTCTGCAGATCTTATTACAGGAGAGAAGCGGCTGCAGAACAGCCCAGAATTCCAGCAGCCAACTGCCCACCAGACCTGTTATGAAAAAGTAGAAAGTGCATATATAGCCCACAAGCCTGGTGGAGGCAATAAAAGATGCCTTCGACTTCCATTCATCACTTTGTCATCTTCAGCTACATTCAGATAGTGGTTAGCAGAGCTCACAACATGGGCAAATTAACACATACGAGTCCCTTGCTGGCTTCCTCCTCTCATAGCTTCCCACAGGAGATATATATTCCATTTCCATGGCTCCTGCCTCCTCTCCTCTTTGGGCCCCATCCCAGATGGAAACAAAAAAGAACTCTTAGGGTATGAAATGGGATGGGGGTGAAGAAGGGAGAGTGTGTCACAGGCAGCAGCAGTTGCAGCACAGCCAAGGGGCTGTACAGTTGCTAGGAATTATTGTGGCAATGTGACACAGCTTTCCCCCTCCATCATACTGAAGCATGGTTGCTTCTGGTACTGAGGGGCTGAGAAGTTAAGAGGTCTGCCCTAAAAGATTTGGCAGTGCAAAGAAGACAGCTTTGCCCTCAAACCCTGCTGCTCATAAGATGCCTGGAGGCACCTAGGTGGCTGTTGCTGTCAGAACAGGGTAGTGGGCTAGGTGGACCTTTTGTCTCATCCCATACAACTGCTCTTACATTCTTATACCCAGAGTATCTGCTGTGGAAGTTGCAGAGGGTGCAATGGAAACAGAACAGCTGTCCTACCCCGCCTGCAGCGTCAACTCTGGTGTGCCACTGCTCCCAAGAGCCCCTTTCTGTTCCTTCAGGGAAGAGGACCAACCTGGATCTTCTACTCTGTCCCTGAGCTCCAGGCCTCAGCCTCTTGCCTGGCCTTGAATAGCTGTCTGTCAGTGACAATGCTGAGAAACTCAAAGCCAGTCTCCAAGAAATCCATGCCTCAGGTCTCTAGGGTCACAGCTGAGTTCGTGAAGATCACACAAATCATTGGGATCTCATCTCTTAAACTTTAAATCCACTGCCAGAAGATATAAATAGCTTGGACACAAGCCAATGTAATCTACCCTTCCACTGTGCAGTGTGTATATACATGGACATTCAAAATAAACTACAACACAGAAACTGATCCTGCTGGATTAAGACAAATTTGGATTTTAATGCCCAGCTTTGCTCAGAGTCCTAGAGTTCAAGGGTCGATATAGTAGATTGCAAGAAGGGTATAGGTTAGTCAAGCTTCAACATTTTATCATAATAAACCAGATGTGGACAAAACACCAAGTTGAAGCCCATAAATCTATTACAGTGAACTGTCAATGTCCCCCACGGCAGGGTCATTTGTTAATTCATAGCTGGGTCTCTTTTTTCAACAGACCTTGTAAACTCTTTCCTGAAACATCAATAAACCATCTGCTTTGACTAGTTAATCAAATGACTTTATTCAGTCCAAAGCCATTTTTTCCTAATAAAAACAGAGTATTTATCTCCACGGCTATAAAAGAGGATTGTTTTCAACTATTCACTTATAGTTAAGAAGCGCATTTAGTCTGGATTGATTTCCAATGCCTTGGTCATATCCTGTCACTTTCCATTTCTTACACACAACATCTCAGTTTAGCTACTTAGCAGCGAAAAAAACACAACCTAACTTGGGGCTGGGCACCAGTTCAGGGAGGCAGAAAAGTTCCCATCAGAATTAAGAGCGGCATTCTCTGGCAAGCAGTAGAATGACAGGTGTCTCCTCCGCCTGTACGTCTTTCACATCTGTGGCATTCTGTTGCAGGGGGGACCCAACTCCTCTCCTGGGACTGGCTTTCTAAGGAAGGATATGTGCCCCAGAACTGCTCTGTAACTACAAATTCAATTGCAAAACAACCAAACTGCTCCCAGTTGCACTGAAGCAACCACTCTTTTGGGGATCATAACAAGTACATTAACTGCCCCCCTGTCTGTCTAGCAGAGCCCTGCCTTTGACAGTGCCAGGAAGACAGAGTCTTGGAGCCTTATGCCATTGGAGAGGCACCTGGTGCAATCCTGAGTTCAGCTGCCGTACTCACTGTGGGGCCAATCCCTGGACTCTCAAACCCAACCAACTTGTCAGGGGTCAGTCTAAAAAAAAAGAAATGCGGGTGGGCATTCACACAGGAAATACATACATGCCCCAGTTCTGTCCTATCTGCCCCAGTGGGGAGCAGAGGGTGAGGAAGGCAAAGTCATTTATATAATGTGCCTCTCTGCTGTGTTTCTAATGGCCAGAGCTTTTGTTCTGCTGTTGCTGGCTGCCCATGACAAGCAGGAAGCCACAGCCTCCCTTTATGCCATTGCCTTATTCAGCAATTCACATCCATCATAAAAATCAAATATGCATGTTGCTATCGCCTCACCAACAGCAGTTTCAATTTTTGCCTTGCTGTATTCTAAATTTGGGGGGGGCACAGATGGGCAGAGTCACTTTGCTAGGCCTGAAACTACTTGAATTTCTCTCTGCTTTATTGCTAAGTGGCTGGATGGGAACGGCTGAATGCAGCTTGCTAAGAAGGGAGTGCACAGAGAAGGCCTCTTGGGAGGAGGGACAGCAGCATCCACAGGGGACAGACTCCTTGGCTTCGACTGGACAGAAGAGGGTCCATTGATGGGTCTTCTAGCAGCCTGGCTCTTGGAGCTCTTGAGGAGAAGGGGCAAGCTCTCTTGCCTTAAGGGAATTTCTGTCCAGGACAGCTCGCACCCCAAGACAGGACAGCCCAGCAATGCTCACAGAGCTTCCCTCCTGGATTCCGTGGAGTCACTGGACACACAGGGAGTTTCAGCCATCAGATCACTGCCAATTCTGAACAAAGTGAGAAAGCATTTCCAAGGTGAGATGGGCAGCTACTCAAGCTGACTCCATGAAAAGACCCAGGAGGCCCTTCTGGCATGAAGCATCCACTCAGCTCTTATCCCCCTGCTCCATGTACACACCAAGCCCTTGCCCCGGGCACCTTTGAGTGGCTCTCATCACGGTGCTCCCTCCGGAGAGTCTGTCTAGATCATCATCACCATTTTCATTTGGGGCAGCTCTTGAAGGCACAAGTGAAGCATCATTCAAGAATTTAGATTCCAATGGATTTTGATCTTTTAAAAAGAGCAGCAATGCTGGAGCTACGCAGACAGTCATGCTCCTCTGAGCCCTAAGGTGGTGGGGAGGAGGCAAGAGGCTGCATCCAGACACTGAAGCCCAACAAGCTGCAGGGCAGAAGCCAGAACCAAATCAAGCTTCATTTCTCTTGCTTGTTCAGCTGGCAAAGGCAAACTGCATTGCCCAGGATATCTGCATTGCTCAGGATATCTTCTCTTCTTTTGCTTGAAGGCTAAGAGCCTTTCCCTTGGAAGCTAAGCAAGGACCACAGCTGGCTCCACCGCTGGGCATCCCATGCCCCATCATAGCAGTAGCAGAGCTTTGGTCATCTCTGCTCCTTTGAGACTCAGCAGAAAGAAATGGAGGACTCCAGTCTCCATGACGACAGAATAGGTCAAAAGAATAGGTTATTACAAATCACGGGCATAGCCAAGGGGGGGGGGCAGGGGGGCAGCTGCCCCCCAAGCAATAAAAATCAATAAAAATACATAGCAGAGGTTCTGCCCTTCCTAACAAAAATCCTGGTCATGCCCATGTTGCAAATGACAAGAAATACAAGTAAAACAAAAGGCAACCCCCAGCACTGTAGGCAATGCTTATTTCGAGAATTCTCTGCTACAGTGTGCGCATGTGTGTGTGCACTCTTAAGTCAAACAACTCCTTTTGTTCCCCTCCCCTCTTTACCCCGTGCTGAGAAGGAAGTTGCCAGGACTTCCTAATGGTTATAGTAGGGTGCAATATCTTTCTCCAGCCTCCGCACACCCCTTATCTTCTTCCAGCTGCTTTAATGCCCCATCGCTGGGCTTGCTTTCATAGGCAGGGATGAAGGCTTCCTCATGTTGTCTACAGCTCTGTCACATTCAGCACTCGATCCACTGCACTGCAACCAGTTTCAAACCTGCTGGTGTGGACAGCCCGAGGAAGGTGCCTCAGCCTTGGTGCCTGCCCATAAAAGCAAGCCTAGAGTGAGAGGCGAGGATGATGTCAGCAGGTCCCAGAAACCTTCTTTGTTGTGAGATATTAGGGGTGATTTGAGTTTGCTTGGGGCCTGGGTAGACGGGTGGAGTCCTGGGTAAAAGCCAGGGGGCTGAGAGGTGCTGAGTGAGGAAGTGTGTCAGAAGAAAGAATTTATATCAGTATTTATTTGTAATTTGCATTAATGGTTTTATTAAGTATTTTTGTAACTTTTTTGTTTGTTTTAGTTTGCTATATATTACTTAAGAAATATTTATATATACATTGGCTGGCATAGAAATAGTCTAAATAAATAAATTTAGACTATGTGTTGAAAGCTGAACAGCCTCTTGATATCCTTCCCCTTCCATCACTCAAGCAGAGGTTGCTCCATGGTAGGAGGAAAAGGAGAGTTTTCCACATGCACAGAGGATACTCTCCAGTTGCCAGTAACCATGATAATGGAATAGAGCAACTGTCTGTGCTCCTGCACTATTATACTACTAACAGCCCATATTTCAGAAGTAGGCAACATACTAGGGCCAGATGTTGGAAAGAAAAGTCAGGTTTTTTATCATGCAATAATATTAGTGCTACAGAAGTGTCTGGAATTGCCATTGTTCAAAGTATCCACTCCTTGCAAAGCCTCTAAACATTCTAGGGATAGCACCTGAAGCCAAAATCGCATATAGTCAAAACACACTGGCTGCAATAGTGGGCGGGATGCCTGCTCCCTTTATTTTTGCTAAGCACATAAAGCTGACTGTGTACAAGCTAAATATATGTATGTTAAGAGCATATCAGCGAGCAAAAAACAAATTAAGAGTTATCCATATTGCTCGTAATGTCTTTCTTGTGGGGTGTGTGTGTGTGTGAGATGGTGTGTGGGCTTCAATTAAACCACTAGAGTCAAACTATGGCCAAGAGTGAAGAGAAACTGAGAGCAGAGATCTGCCAGGCTGCAGTTCTCAGCAGTTCATGGCTATATTGGAAATGTTTGCCTTTTGACCATCACCATCCATGCTTCACCATGTCTGGCAAAATAATTTCTCTCTTTCCAAGATTAGACCAAGTATTCCAGTAAGAAATGATAGAAGTACCTCTTTTACCCCTCCCCACACAAGTGCCTGGATCAGGGTGAGGGGGCATGCCCTCTTCCCCGAAACAGGAATGAGAGACTGGATATACTGGCAGGGTCAGCATCTACTTTGCAGGTCCAGGAAAAAGTACAAACTCATTTAGAGACCTAGTATCATAATTCCTGTCACATCCATCTGGATCCCATTGATCTTTCCTTGCTCCCCACCCCCCCACCCCAATGCTTCAGAGGCTCCTTCCTCTCCTGGCCTGTCGCAAGAGGTGCTGTTAAATCAAAAGGGCAGCTTTCATCTTTCTGCTGTCTGACAAGGAGGGAGCAAAAGCTGGTGTTGGAACAAGAGCCCCTTGGAGTCAAACAGAGAGCTCCCTGGGAAGCAGCCCTTCCCTTTCCCGGCTTCATGTGGAAGTTATTCATAAGCATCCTCATCTCTTCTCCATTGGTCTCACTGATCAAAGACGGGAAATGGGAAACCCTTCTTGAAAAGTTGGCTCTCCACTTCCAGCTCTTAACCTGAGAGGTGGGAGGGAGGGCAGGCACTTTCTTTGCCAGCACCCGTCTATGCATTTAGTAGGGGTTTTAAATTCTTCTGCAGCCCCATTTGAAAACAAAATGAAATCCACAGTTGGAGGCAGCAATGATTCTGAATACCAGTTGCTGGAAATCACAGGAGAGGAGAGTGCTCTTGTGCTTGAATCCTGCGAGAGCCAGTGTGGTGTAGTGGTTAAGAGCGGTAGTCTCGTAATCTGGGGAACCGGGTTCGCGTCTCCGCTCCTCCACATGCAGCTGCTGGGTGACCTTGAGCTAGTCACACTTCTCTGAAGTCTCTCAGCCCCACTCACCTCACAGAGTGTTTGTTGTGGGGGAGGAAGGGAAAAGGAGATTGTTAGCCGCTTTGAGACTCCTTAAGGTAGTGATAAAGCAGGATATCAAATCCAAACTCTTCTTCTTCTTCTTGCTGGTTTCCCACAGGCACATGCTTAGATTACTGCAACCTCTACATAGATTATTGCAATGTGTTATACATAAGGCTACCTCTGAAGACAGTTCAGAAACTTCAGCTGGTACAGAATTCGGTGGCCAGGTTGCTCACCGGGGCAAGACAGTTTGAGCATATCACACTGATCTTGTCCTGACTGCATTGCCTGCCAATCAGTTTCGAGGCCCAATTCAAAGCTCTGTTTTTGACCTATAAAGCCATAAACGGCTCAGGACCACAGTACCTCAAGGGCCACCTCTCTCCATATGAACCTACTCAGACTCTGAGATCATCCTGTGAGGCCCATCTTCATGTGCCTCCTCAGGAGAGGTCTGTAGGGTGGTAACACAAGAATGGGCCTTTTCTGCAGGGGCTCCCCACTTGTGGAATGTTCTCCCCAGGGAGGTTTGGCTGGTGCATTTGTTATACAGTACACCTTTAGGCACCAGGCGAAAACGTTCTTCATCAACCAGGCCTTTGACTGATTAACATCCTATATCCTTTTAAATATGTTGGTGGAAGGGG